AGATTGAAGACCCTGCCTGGGGTAAATTTGCTGTGCCCTGCTGAATCCTTGATTTTTGACCTGATCCATGCCCTTTGAAATGCGGCTGTGTTGGAGTTGCTGTATGTGTGTGCAATATTCACCTGACCTACACAAATTGGAGTGATATCCAGGGTCCACCTAAAAGGGCCAGTGCAGAAGACTTTGCACTTGTCTCAAAAAATGGTTGGACTCACCATAAGGAAACCTTTTCAGTGTCACTCCCTTCAGTAGCTTCTCGCTGTCACTCCACAGCGAGATGGGTGATGTCCTTCAACAGCAGAAGAGCACAGTATGTGGGGCAGCTGCCTTGCCCAGAAGTCCTGGTTAATGCACTGAAGCCCTGCACCCAGGTTTCAGCTATCTTCTCTCTTTCCCTTCCTTTATTTCTGTCTGGGACAGGCCATGCATAACACCCCTTGTCCCTTGCAATCAGTTTGTTTGGGTCACTCTTGCTTTAGCCACTGAATCAGCCCACACTGGTGGCCAGTTGCCAGTCTTGCCCAAATCACAACAATGTCCCATAAGTGAAAAGTGCTGCCCTTTTCGTACCGTGATTCCTCTTGTACAGGTGCCAATCACTTAGTAAAGGATGGGGCTAATGCAAAGAAATGCAGAAAGAGGTTTGGGTTGGGCTGCAGTGGGGCAGGGTTGACTGGTGAGGCCCCACGCCCCACTGCCTTGCTTCTTGCCCCCTTTCTGCCAGAAATTACAGTCTTCTCCAGCCTGCCTGCACAAGAACACTTCTGGTTGCTCCTTGATACAGAAAGGACCCACATTAAACACTGCTACTGAAGGTCCTCAAGCTAAGCCAGGTCCTCCAGGCAGAGCCACAGGGTGGAGTGAGTGCACGTGCAGTTCTGCTGTAAGATCAGAGAGGTAATTGCCTCCTGGCGAGCTGCTAGGACAGAAGCTGTTCTCAGCTGTCCCTTCCTCCAGGTGTCCAGAGAGGAGAAATAACCTGCATCTTTGCACTCCTGTTAGTGCTACGCTAATGATTTTACCTGTTCTTCTTGTCCTGACCGTTTCCTTTGTGGGGCTATATGGACAGGATCAGGAGCACTGTCCTCTCTTCTCCTGTGCCAGGCTGAGTCCCTCCATGACAGAGGACTCACACGGGAGCAGATATTGCAACAGACCGGAAATGTTTGTTCAAACAACAAAATGAAATGCAATCAAGGAGTGAAGGCTAAGAAAAAATAAAAACAAGTGAAACCAGGAAAAGTCATGATGACATTTCTAGCAGGTGCAAAATACTCCAAGCTTGCTGGTACCTAGAGCAAGCACACTCCAGGCAATTTTAAATAGTGCAGATGATTGCTGAGTTTCTAATGAGCCCAGGCAGTAAAACCAACGCCAGCCCTTTGTACACCCCAACATGAGCAAAAGGCCAAAAGGTGGTTGGAGCTCTGCAAAGGTTTCAGCTGTGCAGTCCCGAGACTGTGTGGTGTGCCCACACCTGTGTGGTGTGCCCACGTGCTGTCACAGGGCAGGCACGGAGTGTTTTAGTTGAGGGAGTTACCGTGGGAAGCTGCCCCAGCCAAACCCCTGATGGGTCCATCTCTAGAGACTCTTCCAGTCCTAGTGTCATTCTGCCAGTCCTGTGGCTGAGCCTGGAGGGAAGTGCCCAGTGGTGTGTGAACTGGAGAAGCAATAATAGATGCTGATAGGGTATGTTTTTCACAAAGGGAGGCAGTGGCTGCTGCAAAATCCTGCAAACTGCCCAGCACCAAGTATACATCTTGATGCACCCTTGGGAGTTACCCTCTTCCCTCTAACCGGGAGGGTTACACCTGATCGATGCTTGCTATGAAGTCCTGTGTAGGCTCTCAATGCCAGGCCTTTGTTCCTCATTGTTCTTTGTGGTTTCCTCTGACAGCCTTGCCTCCCCACATGAACTCATGGCTATGCCATGGGCGATTTGAGCCCTCCTGCAGGTGCCCGTGCCTGGAGCAGTAACAAGCAGACAGCCCTTGCTGTCATCCCAGCTGGACAAGGGAGGAAGCTTCATGGAGCAGAGACATTTCACTCACTCATTTGCAGCAGTCCAAAGCAGGCATGAAGTGGTACCAGTAGAGGAGAGCAAACACTTCACAGGCAGTCGGCAGTTGCCTTGATCTGATGTGAGAAAGAAGTAGCTGCAGCTGCATGGACAAGACCCCCAAGCAGTGGCAGTTTGTGCAGGGGCAGGGAGGGGAACAGGCACTGTGGTGGTGGAGGTGACCATCCCTATAAGCCAGGCCAAGGAGAGAGAGGCTGTTTCAGCTGGGCTGCTCTCCAGCTTGCCCATGGGTCTGAAGCAAGACAGAGCCCAGCAATGGCCAGCTGTCCCCGAGGCAGCTCCAAAGACTGATAATCCTAATAATTGCACAGGAGCATCTGTGGCACTTCGGAGCTTCACTGAAATCCCTGGTGGCTCATGTGTGGACTTCAAAAAGGTCTCCAGCCATACAGCTTAGAGCCAGCCTGCCCTCTGGTCACTGGGAGGTGTTAGGGTGTCAGGAATTCCTCTGTGACTCCATCTTGCTCACAGTGCCCAGTTCTTGCACTCTGGGGGTATATTCTGGTGGCAGCAAGGGCTGGAAACAGCAGCAGCGTTGAGGAAACCCTCACAGCTGCTGCAATTCCACCTGGCCCTGGGCACAACCAGCCTGCAAGGCACAGGGGGTTACAGGGAGGGTTTGAGCCCCTTTTGCCCTCAGCTTGCTAAATCTGCACCTGCCCAAAGGCTTCAGGCTAAATTGGGGTCTGGGAAAATGAGCGCAAATGTTTCTGCAGATGTTGTTCTTGCCAGAGGGATTTTACTGTCTCGGAACTCTTGTGTGTCCTGAGAGAACCACAGACAGACACGTGCAATAGCCTGTTTGCATATTATAAATGAGCTTCACGCTGAAGCTCCTCAAGTTTAGAAAACTGACTGCGAGCAGCAGCTCTCTCGCAGGTCCAACAGCCTGCCGTTGCTTACAACACAGTGACGGAGATGTGGCAACGACAATAAAAGGGAGTTTCTTGGTAGTTGGTTGTGTTAAAGTTCTTGGTCTCTGCTTAGTGTGGTACAGTGATGGCATGTGGGCGCTGGGTGTCCCTATCTAAATGCAGCCATGGTAATGGTGGTGGTAATGGTAATGGTAATGGTGGGCTGGGCTCTTCTACACCACTGAGAATGTGGACGGTAGCAGGCAGGAGACCGGGAAGTGCTACAGCTCCCTCCTGTCCTGCCTTCCCTACTAATCCCTGAGGAGGCACAGGGCATGGGGAATTTCTGTGGTACACGCTCCTGAGGTAGCACAGCACCAGCACCAGGGCATCGGGCACACACTGGTGACCCTTCACCAGCACTGGTTGGATTGGACTGGGGTTTCAGGAGTGTGGTCCTGTGCCTGTGTGGGTTTCCCTCTCAGGTTTGCTAGGCTGGTGTCTCTGTGCCATGCTGTGGACAGCTTCTTGCTCGGAGCGTTCTTCCATCCAGCATCCCCATCCCACGCTGACCGTCAGCAGTTCATTTCCTCTTAGCAGGGAGTAGCAAGGGCAGCGTAGCAGAACTGTGTTTGCTGTGCGCTGAATGGGGAACAGCTGGAGACAGATGATTGTTAGCGTTATTTGTCCGTTGCCTGGACATTTTGTTTGCTTGTTTGAGCCCTGAAAAAATAGGTTTCCAGTTCCTCCGGAGGCTGGTCTGTGCTAAGCCTCTATATTGTGGGCTGCTTTTGAAAACTAGGGTTTTATAACTTTGCAAATGAGTGTCCTGCTGCTTTAGTGGCAAGGCTCCATAAACAAGGCGGTCTTCTCAGAAATTTCCCTGCCACAGAGCCAGCAGGACTAGGGGAGCAGGAGCAGCCAAAACCCACATACTCCTGGTGTCAAAGAATCATATACCCCTGAGTGTGGTCCCAATTGGACCTCTCTCTTGAGTGGGTTTAAGTGTCTGACTAAATGATGTTTATGGACTGTGCGTAGAAGGATGCCACTCAGCTTTCCTCCCGATCAGCTCCTCACCTGGGGTAAACCGCCTCTGTTGCAATCATAATAACCTGTTTGCAACTGCTCTGTCTGGAACAATTGCAGATATCCTCTGGCTCCTCACTTCTGGGTGTTTGCTTTTATTCTGAGCAGCTGGGCAGTCCTTTGCCCTGTGAGAAAAGCATCTTTTTTCTCACTGCTGAGTGCAGACGTTTTGGCCACGGAAAATGGAGTTAAATAAGAATAGGCTGGTCAGGAAACGGAGAGGGTGTTGTTGCCAGCTGATACTGGAGAAATAATATCAGGAAGAATGCAGATTTGGCCAAGGCACTCGCAAGCAGTGCCACGGGTCTAGTCATGAGCCTGGGTGTGCATCAATTGTGCAGCTTCGGGCTGTGGCGGCTGCACATCCTCTCAAAGTACAGCAAAATGTCAGTCTGACACGGACACAGGACCAGAGTTGGGGGTCCACCTTCTGCTTCACAAAAAAACGTCCCTTTAACACCTTGCATTTCTTTTGAAATCCCTTTATCAAGTACTGACCAGACCTGAGCTTGTTTGATTTGGCAGGCAGAGACCTGAGGGAAGGGGGGGGTAGGGAGAAAAAAAAAATAACAACACTGCAGCCGATTCATCCCTCCTTGTTTATTCCACCAGAAATAGATTTGGCAGAGCGCATCAGGAATGAACTAATCAGCAGGGAATTAATTGGCATGTTTGTTAAAAGGCAGGAACAACGCGGTGAACAAATTCATGGCTGGATGGCCGGAGGGTTCAAGCAGCCAGAGAGGAGCACTGCATAGTGGAAACTGTGACTCGTAGGAGAAGTCATACAGCTGTGCCGGAGAGCCAGCGGTTGAGAGCTGCCCAAAAGAACCGGGGGCAAAGATATATTGGTGTCCTTGCGGGTGGAGCTGCTTTCAAGAGGGTCTCCATCACCCAGGCTTTCCTTCCCATAAGGCTCCCATGTGTGTGGGGAGATGGCTAGCTTGCAGGAGTGGGAGGGAGGGGTAGGAGAGGTACAGCTGGAAGAGGCTCCACGGAAAGACTGCTGTGGAAACGTGGAGAGCGGGGAAATGAAGAGGGACACGTCACTCATCACAAGCTGAAATGCAGAGGGGGTGGTGAGGAGAAGAGGAGCAGGGAGGCAGAGATTTGGAAGCCTCGTCACAGAAGGACTGGCCTCAAGAGCACAGGTAATGCTTGTATGCAATTCTCTGCCTTCTTTCCCAGGAATGTTTTGTTTCTTCCTCTGGAGGAGACACATCCACGCATCTCAGAAAGAGCTTGTTGGGTTGAGGGACTCTAAAGGCACCTGTGGGAAGAGCCAGGAGAGGAGGGAACATGTGCAGGCTGGCATGGATTTGAAGGATCGCTACCTACATTTCTGGAGAACAGGGGTGTGCAGGGTGAAAGGAGTAAGAAAGGAAGAGTGAGCAAATCCTTAGAGACAATCAGACAGGCAGACATGGAAAGTGTAAGGTCCGTGGATGCCTACCCATGGAGAGAGGGGAAACTTCTTAAGAGGGAGCATCAAGCTCTAAATGAGAGAGAGATGGAGACAAGACATATCCTGAAAAAGCAGGTACACCTGGCAGAAGGTGTATGTTACTTTCTCAAAACCAACAGTACTTTATTAATGTTATGATTTGCAGTAGGTGTGGGCTTTGCACCTGGATGGCTTCTTTTTTTCTTCTTTTTTTTTTTTTTCTTCTTCTTTAGCATCAGTATATGCTAAAGAAGCCTGCTGGCAACAGCATCACCCTAGCTGTCAGTCATCAGGGCTGTCAATTAAATCCCTTTATTTAGCAGGATGGTGCAGCTATTTGTGGGATTCAGGTGCTCTTTGCTTTCACACAACATCCAGGTGGAAGATGTGTAGTCTAACTCTTAATTATATGCAAAAGCACTATTTATCTCAAATATGTGGCCAAACTTGAACAAGTCAAGATACTGTTATTCCTACATTCCCACTGGTTGTGCGTGTGTACCAACATATAATATTATTCTCACCCACATATAAAAGGAAGAATAATACATTACAATGGATTTTTAACATAGACTTTTGAAACAGGTGGTGTTATAGCTGTACCACTGTGGCTGAGTTAATATCGTAGGATCCAATTCTTTAAATTGCTTTTGGCATTTTTCTTGATCTTTCCACCATTACATAATACTACAAGCATATGCTAATGTTTATATTACCCTGATTTTTTTTTGCTTGGAGAGCTAACAAATGCCATCCGCTTTGCAAGTAGAGCTTGCAAATTCTCTGATTGTTCTGGATTCACAACCTTGGCAGCTTTCTCCTCTAAAAGCTCAGAGTCTTTTCAGGATCCCAGCCTGGGAGCTCTGGCAGAACTGGCATTAACTGTGAAATTGTGTTCAGCTACTATACGGTTTGGTTTTTTTTATTTAATGTGAAGCTATTTGGTTTATAGCACCTAAACCTTCTTTGACTTTATATAGAAAACAGAACATTTAGTTAGGTTTAGTGTGTAAGTAATATAACCTTAAAATATTCTTAAAATATTGCATATTGAAATAGAGAAATTCCAACAATCTGCAAAAATACCTTTATTATCTATTGAGATCCTTTACAAAATTGAGAATCTTAAACTTACTTTGATGTTTAAGTATCCATTACCATTGGAGTGAGAGCTACGCTTTATGTATTTATGATTTACCTGAGATCAAACTCCCTGATTCATTTAAAACCATATTTTATTTCTCTGCAAATAACCCAAGACCCAGTATCAGTCTTCAGCTTTAGTTTGAAAGTAGCTCAAAAGGAACATGGGAAAATTATGAGGGGAGAAACTGTCTCAAATGAAAACCCCAAAGCCAATTCACTTGCAGTCCAATATTGCAGCAAAAAATTCCTTCATTTTAGGTGTCGCTACAGTGACTGCTAACTCTAATCAACAAAATTCTCACCTCAAAGCAAGTATGGGTTTGAGCTAACACACAGGGATGTACGTGCATGGCATTAAGAGAGTGTATGTATTTATAAAGCAGTCAGAAGTGGAGAGAAAGGTTTTTGAGCCCTCTTGATATACAAGAGGCAAGCAAGCTCTAAAGCATAATGCAACAACTCACGTGTCTGCAATAGAACGGTGTGCTCTCCTCAGGCTTCAGGGGAGGGAGGGCTCTCTGAAATGAAGCTGTGTTTGACACCAGGAGAGAATAACCTAGGCAATTCCCCTGTATCCTAGCCGGCAGCACAGCCCATGGCCAGTAGTGAACTCAAAGTCATCACCTGTTTTCCCTCAGTGTGTCAACATCTGGGGCAGGTACCAGTGAAATATCAGTGCTCTGGCATCATTCCCCACTGCGTGTCGGGAGGGGTAAGCACTGGAAATGGAGTATACTGGAGCAGCAAGAAACAGAGAGGGTGATCGGAACTGGGACAGATAAGAGAGTTCAAATCTTGGCAGTGCTCTTTTGCTTTGGGGCAGGGATTCAGGCTTGAATGGCACTTCCACTGATCCTGGCAGGGCTATGCTCAGGGTATCAAGCTAGCAGAGCTCTTTTATCATGTCAGAGTGAGGAACTGAGGTTAAAAGAAGAAAAAAAGTATTGTGTAATAATGAGACGAATACGTCTGCCTTCATTGCTTGCAGATGAAGGGACCGTCCAGTGAATCACTGAGCCTACCCTGCTCCAAATGCAGAATATGATGTAATTTTCTGACAGAGAGCATATCATATTATTGTAATTAACAGTAACAATAACAAAGCTACTATGTTGTTATTGTTACTCTCTGGATTTAGGAAAGAGCTTTCATCCAAGGATGTGAAAGAATTTTCCCTGCTTGTCAATCCATGTTCTACCCTGACAGTGTTTTCCAGTGCAACGCTGCAATGGATCTGCAGGCATATTTGCAATGGGCTTGGGGTCTGGTTCCTATTACAGATGACCCTGCAGACTTTTTCTGCTAGAAACCTTATTAGTGAATATCCATTTACCTTCTATAGTTCTGCCAAAGAGAGGGAAGATTGCTCAATTTCTGTGCAAGTGTCTAAGATACGGGAATTTATTTCAAAGATGATTATAACCTGATGTTTACTGTGATAATAAATTACAGTAGGCCCTCAGGAATGTAGAGAGCAAAGCTACAAAGAAACTGGTCTGTGAAGGGCCCTGCAAACAAACCATGTGGATCTTGTGATTCATTTGGACACCTGATGTTTTGAAAAGTTTGAGATCAAGTAGGGTGGATTTTCAGTTTCAGATGTAGGTGGAATTTATCGCCACCCTCCTTTTAACAAATACAGAAAGATCAAAGTATCCCAGCCCTGGGGTGTTGAAACAGGTGGGAGGTAGAAAGGGTAAGGAATGGACAATCTCTTCAGAACGTTTTAAAATCAGCTGGGAAGCCACACTGCCTCCTTGATGTTGGCAGCATTTTCAAATCATTTGCAATTAGAGATGTTGGCGTCTGTTAAGTCCTTTCCCATCAGGGAAGATTAAAAAGGCATGTGCATTGAACAGTCATCAAAAGAAAGAGGAAAAAAAAAAAAGTCTAAAAGCTGGAGTATTTATCTGGAAAAGCAGAGGGGCAGAGGAACTGTAGTGTCAATGCAAATAGTTTCAAGAAGGTCCATGGAGACCTCTTTGTTATGTGCCTCGGTGATATCATCAGACCTTCTTAGAGATCTTAATTTTGGCAGTGCTGGGTTGGGGAAGGAAGAGGTGTATGTATGTGTGAGATAGGAAGAAGGTAATTTATTTTTTTCCTTTAAATGAATAGTGCAATTAGCAGAAGAATACTGAGTACAAAATACCTCCTGACAGGTGGAAAGTAGTGTTTTTAAAGTAGCATGACATTTTCCATCAGTATGGCTATATTCATACTGCTATTTTAAATATATGGAAAAATAAATGCAGTCGCAATTAAAATACACTAGTGATTGATTGTAAGAAAGGCACAAAGTAAAAGGATTTATTTATGTACTGCTTTATCTGCTACAGCTCCTTGTAGGTTTTGAGGCTGCTGAATTCTTCTCAGATGGCTAGGAGATGAGGGTTATATGATATTCAAAAAACAATTTAATGTCATTATATTTTGCAGTGAGGTCTTAGACTTTTGATGCATATACCTGAACAAGGGAATAATTTGAATTTTCTCAATGTGCCTACTTCTCACACAAGCCCCTCCATCACTGTGACTACAGATGACTGAAATCATCACTAAAACCTGTGAACTTGGCAATGCATTTTTTGTTTGCTATGTGCAATATGTGCATAATTGATATTTCTAGTCAGTTTCTACCAGAACAGCTGTTAATGACATTTTTAAAAAAATAAAAATACCAGATTCAACACTGAGAGACTTTTTAATTAAGACAGAATAACAAATCAGCACGAGTAAGGTGTGGAGAGACCGATCTATCCTCTTACATTTAGAGATGGTACTTGTCTGTTTGCTAAAGCTGACTGTAGGTTGTAGGGTCTGTAGGTTAGGGTTGACTTTCATTGGCTTGGGAATGATGGTAAACTCAAAAGAAGATGAGGAGCTTAGGTAAATGCTAACATCAGTTCATGTATCTGTCTTGCCTACTCTGCAGATTTGATTGGAAGAAACTGAGCTCCTGACACCAGAACAAGGTGGAGACAGTATATGGGAGGGTGGGGTTGTCTTTGAAGGTCCATCACTGGGTAACATCTCAGTTACTGGTTAGTGGATCAGATAAAAAATAACAATTTCCTATTTTGGCCACTCTTAAATTCTTGCTGAATTGCTTTATTTGTCTGAACCTTGATTTCCCTAATCATAAAGTCAGCAATGCAGCTATTTCCGTACTTTGTAGTACCTCCTCATGGCATTCACAGAACATTCATAGCTATAGGATTCTATCCCAACATGGCTACATATGAAGCAAATCTACTTTCCTAGCTGCTGCCAGTTGATGAAGCATCTCTGTATCACTCAGTGGTATGAAAAAAAGTAAGGAGGTTTGTGCTTGTGAAAAAGAAAAGTCCCTGGGCTTCTATAAAAAGCTAGGCTGAGCAACTTGAACATGTTAAACAAATACATCACCAGAGAGAAATTTTGTGTTGGGGTGACAGGTGGGAAGTGAAGAAGGAGAGGAAAAAGAGAAATAAAGCAGTCAGCCACGTTTTTTGTCTCCACAGAGCAGGGGAAATTCAAGGTCCTACAAACAGCCATGGTGACTCTTCCTCTTTTCCTCTTCTTCATCCTCTTGCCCTGCAGTAAATCCCAGGATGACTTTCTGGAGCAGCATCTGAAATGGAACTACAGAGAAGGCGGTAAGAGGTGGTGGGTCAGCCTGGGAGGCGTTTGCTAACTCAAGGATGAAAATTTTCCTGTTATTTCCTTGTAGTGAGACACAGAGTGCTCATTCATGAGTGCTCTTTCTTAATTCCTGGGAAGCTGCTGAGATTTTTGGAGAGAAAAATAGTTTTAGGAACAATCAGTTGGGGTATCCAGTGGCAGAAGAAAACTTGGGCAACTAGAGGCAGAGAATTACAACGTTAGGGAGAGTTACCTGCTTTTTAATTTAGATCCTCCATATGTTTAATATTTGGCATTTCATTGCAAATTAGTTCAAGTGGTGGGAGTGGCATCAAATTCAGACCAGTGGCTCATGTTTTCTTGTCCTGTTGTGTTTATTTTCCTCTCTTCCATGAAATGTCCTGCTAACCTAGCTGACAAGGTCAACATAGAAGGCATTAACAGCATTACTCAAACACTTGAGAAATGGGGAAACAGCATCTTCTGGCAAATGAAACACACCCTGCTGAACAACCCGAATGCTTTACTACCCGAGTTCTCCAGGTAATTCCCTTCATCTGGAAGTGGGATTCAGTCCTCTCCTGGCTGTCCTTCCTTGAGCAGGATTCATCTTCTTTAAGATGAACTCTCAGATTGCTCAGTTGTGGGGAGATAAATCCCACTGTCTTGGTATCTGTTGTGCTAGCAGCTCTGATTAGTAAACTGAGTATTTTGCTGACTATTTATTGTGAAACATTCTCAAGTGCCATGACACTATTATAAGAACTATCCTAGAGAAAATTTAGGCTGTCGTCAGCACCTCAGTCCTGTGAGAACCGGCTGGAAAAATGAATTGTGCTACAAATCCACACATGGACTTGGCCACAGTGCAGGGAGAAGCAGCTGATTTGGCCTGTGAAGTTTTTTATTTCTATCTCTGTAAAATCCAGAGTGGAGAAAGGTATTCACAAGTCCATGTCCTTGTATTTCCCCCTCTGCATTGCAGGAAATATTAACGATTGAGCACACTCACAAAATTTAATTTAATCTGAAATTTCCAGAAACAGAGTGGAAAAGGCAATGAAAGAGAGACAAGTAGGGAATACTAGAAACCTAAATATCACTTAAATTAGAGTTGTTCCTAAAGCAAGCGGTCCTCTTCCATAACTCAGCTTTCTCCTTAGGAAAAAGAAAAGAATATGTGTCCACAACTGCTAAGCACTGAACCAGGTGAGGAGGAAGGCTAAAAGAATAAAATGGCACTAGTCAGAAGGTCATACAATATCTACACAAATAAGGGTTTCAAGAGCACATAGCTGATAGATTGTATGCTGGCCTTTAGCATCAAGTGGATTTCGCCCTGACTGCAAGGTGGCTGCTGTTATTAGCACAGAATTCATCACAATTTTCACGTTGCCAGTGCTGAAATTCATTGGTACCTAAGATTATCATGACTGATATTAAGTCATGTATTTGGGAAGCTCTAACTTTAGTCCAGGGAGACGTAATGAGACTATTCAGCTGTGCTTCCTGCACAGTGCTCTGAACTCAGTGTTTGCTGGTAAAAACACAGGCTGGTGCATTAGAAATATAGAGGACTGACAGTAATCCATAGGTATCACTGTCCCAGCCTCCATGTCTGCTTCTGGTTAACAGTAAGGCTAATTAATACTAATCAATATTAGGTAATGATTGTAACACCCAAAGGGAGACTGAGAGGAAGCCCTCCAAGGGAAGACCCCAAGCACGCTGCTGCATTAGTGCAGCCCTCACCTTGCTAAATCCTGATGTAAAACCTGGGTCTCCCCGTCCCTCAGCTCTGGCAGAGACTCAGCCTGGAGCAACCAGAGAGCTGCGCGATGGCACACATCAGCCTGCACTCCACTGGGAAGTCCTCACGGGTGATCCCACACATTGGTGTCTCTTCTCTGCCCCTGCCGGTTCCAGCCAAGCAGGCTGGTTTCCATCTCCCCTCTTAAAGGAGGAGTGCTGTGAAGAGCTTCTGGGAGCTTATAACCAGCTGTTATTCTGCACTGGGTCAGCTGTGCTTTGGTAGCGATGGAAAGAGCATGTCGCCCATCCTGGTCCTGAAGCTCATGGTTTCCTGGGTTCAGATGGGGGCATCTCAGATGAGTTCCCACCACCCAAGGGTAAAGGTGGCTTTGGAAGCATCTTTTAATGGTTCCTTGCAACTTCCCCACCAACAAACACAAGGCCACGGTAAATTATTTTGCATGTTCAGGAACTCCCCACACTGAGTTACTCTCCTGTATTACTCTCTCTCTAGTCTCCGCCCTGTCTCTGCAGCTGTGGACAATCTCGTGAGGGAAGTCCATTCGATAAGGAAAAGGCTAGAAGAACTAAATGAGCGCCTCAATGTCATCAACAAAACCATCCTTCCCATCCAACTGAACGCCCTGCAGAGCCAGAGGCGTGGAAATACTCAGCTGCGGAGGCTTCCGATGCATAGGAGAAGGTTGTATGCTCGCAGAAGACCTCAGAGAAGTTAATTCGCTACTGGAAAAAGAAAAAGAAATCTTTATTTTTTTCATCTGCTTAAGCCTTTCTCCATGAGATGCTGCTAGAGAGAATAAAGTAAACCACATACGAGTCAGTTTTACTAAGGAGACCAGAACTTCTGCATTTTGCTGCTGCCTTTCAAACCTAGGTCAGTAGGTGAAATCTGACTCTCTTCTTCAGTGATGGCTGTTTTGTGTCCCAAGCAGAACAAGGTGACAAGCTCAGTCTACTTGAGTGTGAATACCTTCAGGCTATACAGTCATTCTTTACGCTTACCAGAGGAAGCTCTTTCTATAAAGATCAGGTGAATTTCTCTCTCTGCCCTATTTTTACAGCACTCCATCAGAAACAGCTGGGGAATTTGATATTCAAAAGTGCTAGATGCCTGATGAATGCAGAAAGATAGATTAGTGCTTGGCACTTCCAGCTGGGCAGGAAGGGGAAGAGGAAGCTATGTTTTAAAATACAACCTTAACCTATTCTCCATCAGTGCAAAGAATGCCCCGTTCACATGTTCAGAGGGTGGGTAGGGTTGGACAACCTTGGTCTGTGCATCGTGTTTCAAGACTGAAGACGTGTCAGATTCTAGGGACCAAATTTGAACGTCTATCTTCTGCAAAGAGATTTTTTTTAGCTACTTGGACTGTGCACTCAAAACTTTGTTGTTCAGCAAATATGTTCACAATTTTCAGTGCTCTGAAAGATCACTTGACTTCTGCCAAGATCCTTAGAAATCATGGGATGTTTCTTCAAACCTATTTAGATACCTAATGGCATAGGTAGGTGTGCAAAATACCTTAAGAGACAGTTCAGTCCCCAAAATCACAGATAATAATCCAATTGGTGTCTAATTTGCAGGGGTATCTTCTCCACATGCAAGCACTGACCTCCAGACCTTTTCCAACATCCTTTAGTGCAATTAAGATCTGTAAAAAATATAATGGAATAACTATACAACTCAAGGACTTTGGTGCCTCAGGGAATACCCATAATACCGTGTCTTTCACTTGTCTTTGCCATGGCTTTCTGATGGTAATAAAATCTGGTGATAAAATCTGGGCAGAAATCAAATTATGCAATAGATAGAGTGGGCTTGCCCTTCAGGTCTTTAAAGGTAAATCCAATACAGAAATTCCCATCCAACGTTGCAACCAACTGCTTACCTGAAATCTGTTGAAACACAGGCAGATGAGTCAGAGAGGAAAATAAACTTTATTTTTAAAGGTCTGGATGAAGCAATTTATGAGAACAAAAATAAAGAATGGACTATGTCTCAATGGTTGTGGGGGAGGCTGGCATGACTGTTGTTTTGCAAACACTCCTCAATCATAAACATTGAGGATGCAGACTAGCTATTTAAGGATTCCCAAGGCCTGAGTTTATAGAAAGAAGTTCAGTTACACTACAATAACCTCCAGAGGGAAAAGGGAAAAACTAGTTTCGTATGAAATCTTGCAAAATGAGCCAGAAGAAGTAACACAGTCAGCATTTTGGCTGTGACCTGGGAGCTGAGTGGGGGAGGTGAGAGGAATATATGAAACAATCTGATAAATACTTCCCGGATGTAAATTCTCTGAGTTCATGTTTTCAAAAAGTAACAAAACTCTAACTTGGAAGGTCTTTCTTTGGCTTTTGCTTGGGAATTTGAAATGCTGCTTAACTAGAGAAGGGAAAAATCAAGCCTGTGAAAAGGCTGGTAAAAGATACAGTTGTGCCTTTGGTGAAGTTGTCATCATAAATTCTCAGGAAATGTAGAGTATTTTAATCCCAGAATATATTTACCTAAATTACAAGGAATGACAGGAGTGAAAGGCCTCATCAACCTCCTCCTTGTTATTCTGCATTCAGAGCTACTAGGCTGTGCTGTAGCTGCTGGTCCCTCCAGGGGATGCTTTACACACTTGCTTAGAGACTGCTGGTCACTTTGGCCTACCTTGAGGAAGAATACAACATAAATGTCAGCTTTCATGTTCATATTTCAGATGTAAGAATTTTAGCAGGCAACCTGAAGTTGCATAAAATCAACTGAGGACTACTTCTAACAGTCACAGATGGCTGGAGGTGGGAGGCTAGACCAGATCACTGCATGCTTTTATTTTTTACCTCGATGTCCACCATCAGCTTTTGCAAGACCCAGAGGACTGGGTCTGCCTCAGTCCATGTATTCCTACGCAGATATGTGCAAGTTGGTATTTTTGGCAAAGCTCCGCAGCTCCATGGAGAAACTCCAAACTCCATTTGTTTCAAAAGAGAACAAATAAGCTGCAGCACACAAACTATATTACAATTTTGTAGGCTTTTTCTTGCATAATGGTGAATAAACCAAAAAATATAAATGGTTAATGAATGACTAGATCTGTGACCTTGTCACCACTGATAACAGCCCCTGTTATTCACTCTGTGAAAGTCCATGTAAGGCTCCAGCCCTTTTCCGTGGCCTGAGCATGATCTGTTTGATCATATGATAATGGCCAGCTCCTTTAACTTCTTTGCCATTGCACAACCCTCGCTCTCTAGAAGGAAATTCTTTAATGTCACATTTCTTTTATCATTTTCTTTTTTTCTTCTTAAAAGTATAGGAAAGTTATGCATCAGCCTGCTCCTGCACTACTCACCTTCTATTTGAGAGGGCAGGAGTTGAGCTGAGGAGGCTCTGTCTCCTTTTCCTGGTGAAGTTGGTCTGATCCATGGCTGCCCCAAGGACCGATATTCAATTCCTGCCTCTGCTGCCCTCTTAAATGATCCTGGGCAAGGCACTTTCTCTGCCTGGCATTGGTCCTTTGATGTGCCTTATACAGCTACAACTCCCTTGTGATCATGAAGGATCTAAGTCCTCCACGCACATAAACAGACCCAGCTACCTAAGCCACCTCAGCTCCCCGTTGTGTTTATTTACATGTATTTCTCGGAAGGGACCTGGCTGAAGTTTTAAAGGGAGCTGACCGTCTGGGCTGTGACAAACGCGCCAAGGTCAGCGGAGGGAGAGCAAATATCATCGGTGGCATCCAAGATCTACTCCATAAAGGTCACGACATCCCCAGAGCCATGAAGCGCCCACTGAAATTCCGTGTCTTAAAAGAACGCAGTTGTGATTCCCTTTCTTAGCTCTATTTATTATTCAAAAATACCAATAAACTTTATGATTTGCAATTTCGGGAGAGCTGTGCCTCTCCACGCGATACATTCCACACTTGGCTCAGTACTTCCCCTCCTTTGTCTTCTATTTCCTTCGGATTTCCTCTCTCCCCCTCTCTCCCCCCTCCCCGCCCGGTAAATACCCACCTGCTCCCCCTCTTCCTTACACTTCACACTTCTCGGCGTTCACCCGTTATTCACCCCCGGCTTCCCGCCCCCACAGACCGCCGCATCTCCTACCAGCCCCGTCCCACCGGCGCTCCTCCCCACTCCCCGCCGCCGCATCCCCCCCAGCCCGGGACCCACCGGCCCTGCCGCAACGGCGCCGCCGGCACTCGGGCGCCCCCTAGCGGCGGTGCGCTGCGCTGCAGGCGGCGGGGCGCCCGCCGGGCCCTCCCACCGCTCCCCAACCGGGCCGCAGAGGGCCAGGCCGAGCAGATTGCGGTTGACCGAGGCCGGGCAGAGCGGCACCATGCTGGGCATGATCAAGAACGCCCTGCTGAGCTCGGTGGAGCCGTGGCCCTACCGGGTGCTGAGGAAGGGGGGGAAGGTAGGTGGCGGGGCGGGGGGGGCGGCGTTGCCCCCCCCGGGGGTCCGTTGTGTTTATTTACATGTATTTCTCGGAAGGGACCTGGCTGAAGTTTTAAAGGGAGCTGACCGTCTGGGCTGTGACAAACGCTCCAAGTTCAGCGGAGCGAGAGCAAATATCATCGGTGGCATCCAAGATCTACTCCATAAAGGTCACGACATCCCCAGAGCCATGAAGCGCCCACTGAAATTCCGTGTCTTAAAAGAACGCAGTTGTGATTCCCTTTCTTAGCTCTATTTATTATTCAAAAATACCAATAAACTTTATGATTTGCAATTTCGGGAGAGCTGTGCCTCTCCACGCGATACATTCCACACTTGGCTCAGTACTTCCCCTCCTTTGTCTTCTATTTCCTTCGGATTTCCTCTCTCCCCCTCTCTCCCCCCTCCCCGCCCGGTAAATACCCACCTGCTCCCCCTCTTCCTTACACTTCACACTTCTCGGCGTTCACCCGTTATTCACCCCCGGCTTCCCGCCCCCACAGACCGCCGCATCTCCTACCAGCCCCGTCCCACCGGCGCTCCTCCCCACTCCCCGCCGCCGCATCCCCCCCAGCCCGGGACCCACCGGCCCTGCCGCAACGGCGCCGCCGGCACTCGGGCGCCCCCTAGCGGCGGTGCGCTGCGCTGCAGGCGGCGGGGCGCCCGCCGGGCCCTCCCACCGCTCCCCAACCGGGCCGCAGAGGGCCAGGCCGAGCAGATTGCGGTTGACCGAGGCCGGGCAGAGCGGCACCATGCTGGGCATGATCAAGAACGCCCTGCTGAGCTCGGTGGAGCCGTGGCCCTACCGGGTGCTGAGGAAGGGGGAGAAGGTAGGTGGCGGGGCGGGCGGGCGGG